AACATCCTGGTCTGGGCTTTTAGCACGAATTTTTATATAAATCGATTTCTTGAAAAAGCAATACCAAAAGCCATTTTGTGGCATTAAATCCGATAACGGATAGCCGTCGGCGAGGATTAACATTAGTTTCCAATACATTACTGCAAAGTATAAGCACTCTAGCTTAGCACTGATTAGATCGAGATGGCCTGAATCATATAGAAGACTTCACACAAATGACTGATGAAAATGTTCTTTTTGTGTATGGTTCGTTMCGTTATGATCCTTTAGTTTGTCTTTTCCTCTTTTTTCTTTTATTCATCCTAGCCGCTGATGTGCAAATGGTAAACAAAAAGTGAAAGAAAGATACATTCAAATGTAGATACATTCGATGGTCACTGATATAATCCCCAGGGATGAAACACGTTTAGGTCAAACTATTTTGATTAATCCAGATGCCAGCCGTATATATACACTCTATCTCTATCCCTCTCTGACAGACAGCATACAGCTTTCTCTGTATATATATTTTCACTGCGGTATACAAGAATGGGGGGTGGGGTGGAGGGGTACCTATACACATAAAATTGCCCCATAAACTGAGTCTTTTATAATAACTTTTTTTCAATAACATCTCTGTTCTATTCAGTTCTTTTGCCTTTTCCTGCATGAAAGAATTAGACTTCCCTTTCTAATTTGATTGGCTGTTTAAAACATAATTTGATACCCCGTCTCAGCTTGATCTATTTTCGGACATGATGTGTTTTGTGAACTTGCACACACACAAAAAAAACAAAGTGCTAGAAAAGTAACTACAGAAAGTGGAGAAAAAAAGCCAGCTTTTAAATAGTCCTAATATTCAGAAAATATTGTTTTGAGATACAAATTMAAAAAAGAAAATAAACAAGTATCAAAAAGGGCCGCAAATTTGATTGGTTATTGACAAGTAGTTGAGTTATGAATCCGTCACGCTTGGGCAGCGGTTAACTCCATGTGTTTTTGAATGGTGGACGTGTTTGAAAGGATTCCTTCCGCTTTTTTGCTGAGATTGAAAGGTAAATATGTCCCGAATTATCTACAAGAAACCCTTGAGAATCTTATAAGTGTTTCGAGCCGTTGTGTTGGATGTTGTCCGGTAKGTACGATTGTCTGTAATTAGCTGTTATCAATGTAAACTTGCAACCCTGCATTAGTTTATAACCCATGCTGTTTTGAAATCGGGAAATATTCAATCGTTAATCTGACTTATCTATAGTTTTTCGCTGCTTCAGCATTACAAGASATGTTCTAGCGCTTCTTAGCAACGCATTACTGTCAAATGTTATTATGAAATGGTTGTACTGGTATATTTTATTTGAGGTTTGAAGTCAGGTTTACAAACGTGCTCGTTAGATGTCTGTTGTCTTGTAATATCGATGGTTAATATCTTGTGCGTGGTAGTCCATATAGAATGAAATAGTCCTTCGATGTAAACATTATCGACTAAGCCAAACGATTTGTCCCGAAAAACCAAGGTTAAACAACAGTCCCGACCATAAAATGTGTAAAAATCTAGCACGTAAGTGTAAAATGTATACAAACAAACTTGGGGGTTGAAATTATAAAATCCGTGAAAAGTTTGATTTATTGCTAAACAACATATGCAAATCTTTCGACCCCGACTGATGAAAAATAATGAATGAAAACATTGACTATAGTCGAGGTTTTTCTGTAGCATTTGTATG